ATGTTTTAAAAACATTTATTTTATGTATTTAGTACAGGGTCTACAGGGTCTCACAAGGTAGATCAGACCTGCAGTGTTCCTCCTGTTTTCAGCCTCCCAAACACTGGGATTGCAGGTGTGCACTGCCACATCCAGTCTCAATCACCATCTCAGTGCTCTCCTGGGGCGGGGCCAGCAGGGCAAGGCTGGAACCTCATCCCTGTGTTCTGCCTAAGCAGGTGCTTTAGTCTGCTGAGCTATCTGGCTGGCTCTAGACTAATATTTTTTGAAAACCTACAAAACAGTCCACAAACGCACTAATAAAATTTTTTTAAAGAAAAGTTTATCTGAACTTCCTCTTCCATCTAAGCAAGTTCAGAGGATGGGAGTTCCATCCTTTTCGTGTAATAGAAATCCAGATAAAACTCATGAAACAACTATTTCCAGACACTGAAAAAAAAATCAAAATTACAATTTGAGAAAAGAAAAATGAGTAAGGTGAGTCTAATTATGGTGTACAACGTCTGTCTAAAAGTAATTCCTAGGCTGCAGCACAGGAAGGGAGAACCTAACAGGAGTCTAGGATTCTTTCTCCTCTGTGGAGATAAAAACCAGAATTTGGGAGGCCCACTCAGGTTAGCGCTTGGAAAGCAGTGCCTGAGAGGAAGAACATACACAGAATACAGCTTCAGAAATTTGTATAGCATACTCTTGAGTCTTCGCTAAATATTTATGTATGCATGCGTGAAGGAAAACCACAGCTCTTCAGGAAAGAATTACCCAGAAGTTTTAAGGCTAAATTTTCAGAGCTCACGTATGGCCAAGAATTTTTTCAAACACCCTCTCAAACAGAATACACACATACTCTTTTCCAACTGCAAAGGGAACATTCACCAGGACCTACCATAAGCATGGCCATAAAATAAATCTCAAGAAATAAAAAAAGAGGTGCAAGCTGGCAAGATAAAAGCAGCAAGAACGTCTGAGGTGGACTGCATCTGCTCGTTTGTTCTGGAGCCTAAGGCCCTGTCCACCTGGCAACTGTCAGCTCCAGCTCAGCTTTATCACAAGTTTGTGGATCATTGTGGAAATCTCAAATGTGGGAACCCTGGTAAAGACCTCTAAAAACGTTGGAACTGGACTAGTGAGTGCTCTGGCATGGGGCAATATCATGAAATTATAGACTTAAGTGGATAAAAGAGTAAGCTTAGGTGTCAGTTTTAATAATTTGGCTATGGTTCTGCAATTGCCTCATGCACAACTGCCATGGAATGGGTGAAAGAGAAGACAGTGGAGGAAAACCTGATCATCAAAACTCGAGCATCACCAAGGAGCTGACTTCTGCCAGTGAAGCTGCACTGCTCCGTGCAGGCAGGAGAGGTCGGCCTCCAAGGCTGATCATTAACTGAAGCAAACACCCAAGAAAGGAGACAGACAGAAGTGTGCCCTTGGCATAGTTTCAGCCGGGCTGTCTGTCTGCCTCTTCAACACCGTCCACGTCCAGGTGCTCTTTGCACTACTTAAAACAAACACAAAAATAAAAAAACCACCTATTGAGAGTTCCATAATATTTACCATTCACACTGTGACTAATGCTACCAAATACAACATTTACTTGTTGCAGTCCCTTGGTTACTTTAAGCTCACTTCTACTGCCTTAATGAAATGTATACTGTGATTTACATGTGTGGCCTCAGGACTGAAATCTGTGAAGCCTTAAGTTTTGATAGGCCAAGAAATGCATAAATATCTAATTTTACTTAAATCTATGTTGAGAAAGACTGCTAGAAGAATCCTCGGTCGAACCAACTGTTGTACATATACACAAAATAAAGGGATGAAATGAGTGTATCCAAAGAGAGGTTGAGACAGTGTCCTGCAGGAGTAAAGGCCGAGGCCTTGGAACTATGAAGCTAGGAAAACCAAGAAATTCTCTGCCAGATTCACTCATTTAGTCTGCTGGGGCGAGGGGCAGGCGGCCAGGGTCCCAAACCGCTCAGTCACTTCCTAGTTAATTACTGTATTAGCCTTCCCCCGACACACACTGCGCACCCATCCGAGGTACCCCACGCCCTGTCCTGACACCTCACCTTGTAGTCCACCACCTCCGCCAAATCGATTTGAATGCGCGGCGGCTCGCGCAAGCAACACACAAAGAAATTCGTGTCGAAGCGGTGGCGTTTTTCACCCGTGAACGGAGTGAGCCACCCGCTCCAGTCGTGCAGCGCCCAGATGTTGGGCGTGCAGTCCAGGTGTGCGCACAAGTCCAGGAAGTGGCGCGCGTCGCCACGGACGCGGGTGCGCCAGGTGGACACGTCCGGAGGAGGCTCCAGGGCACAGTCGGGTTCGGGAGTGGAACCCCGGGACTCGGGAATCTGCCCAGCGCTCCTGCGCCGCAACAACAGCACGCCCGACTCCTCGAAAGTCTCCCGGATGGCGCAGATGCGCAGGGCTACGTCATCGGGCAGTGCCGCGGCGTCGCCGCCGGGGCCTTCGGGCCGGGAGAAAGACAGCACCGGGAAGGAGGCTCGCTGGGGCGGCGCCGGGCCCAGGCCGAAGCGGGGTGGCGCGTGGTGCGGCGCGAAGAGGTGCAACCAGTCGGCCGAGCGGTCGGCCGCGTCCAGGACGCCTCCGGGGAAGACGTGCGCGCCGGGCACGAACTTCTGGTTCTTGGAGCGCTGCAGAAACAGCACTCGGAAGCCCTCCGCGGGCGGCAGGGACGACGACGCGGCGGCGCCCGGGTGCTTCCATCCGGCCGCTAGCACTACGGTGGCCGCCTGCCGCCAGATCCTTTGGTCGGTTCTCAGGGCCCCGCTCATGGTGAGCAGCAGTGTGCGGCTTTCGGGCTCGACACGAGTGCCCAAAAAGTTTGCGTATGGTTACACTGACCCAGCCTCCCCCAGGGCTTGACGGCGAGCACCAGCCTGCATTTATACCCGGGCCTTCCTGTGGGAGGGGCATGACACGCCTCCCACAGGAGAGACCAGGCACAGCCTCCAGTACACGCATTTGTACCCGGGTCAAGGTCTGGGGACTGTGCCAGTAGCCAGCGAGTGATTGTCATTCACTGCTGCCTGAAAGGCGGGCTGCATCATTCCTACTCAGGATGTTTAGACTGGCAGCAGAAAGCTTAAGAGACTTGTAATGTGACTTAGGACATGTTCAGTCCTGACCCAGAAACAGAGATGACTCCTCAGCTTGTCGGCCAGAAGATACCCACTTCCAAGACTTTGCAAAAAGCCTGTTTAAATTTGAGTTCTTTACAGTCCCTTTTTGAGTCACCAACAGCACCTCCCACAATTTCTATGACTATCTGTTGCACATTCCTTAGGTTTTGGGGTGAGTTAAGACTATATACCTGCTGAGCCTTATTTATAAACCATGTTTTAATATGGGCTTTCCTCCAGGAGAACCCCAGACAGTACCAGTACTATTTAGGTTGATATTTGTTAATATTTCTAAAGGTGCAAATACCTGTGTACTCACTGTGTTCCCCCAATCAGAAAATGGGGTCATATGTTGAGAAAAACACATGTAGTATTTAAGAGAGGATCCGTATACTACAGGGAAGATCTGCTAGGTGCTACCCAATTTGAGTCTGATACCACCATAATAATTAGTTTGGTTAAACATTTGCTAACTCTAGTCAACTTATCTTTGAGAAGAGAGTATTTCTGGGCCCAGGGTACTCACTGACCAGACCTGTTGAAACCAGCTAGATCCAAGATGACCACTTTCACTTCTTCCCCCCACCCCCTTCGGTACTGGGAATTGAATTCAGGACCTTGCATGTGCCAGACAAGTACTTATTTTACTGAGCTATCTCCCCAGCCCCTCCACTTTCACTTCTAACAGACTTCATACCCTGTTATAATCCCAATTGCATGACACAAGCCTCAGTACCCTGAAAGTTGACAATTCCTGCGACCATGACCAGAAAGTATTCTTTATTAACCCAGTCCTTCCTTGCATTTCATGTATCCTGTATGTCTGACTTCCCCATCCCCAGTGGGTTGAGTAGTTGATTCACACCTAGACTCCCACTTCTCCATTCTCTGGAACACACAAACTTGTGCTTGACTAGCAACTTCCATTTCACTTTCTAGCTTAATGATACTGAACAGAAAAACATCTTGCTTTCAGGAGCTCCGTCTTTATAGGAGGAACCAGCAAATTCTTGTTAAGAAGGCCACAGAATCACAAGTTGGGATTTACCTTTAGTTATGCCCCAGGAGCTTCATGTGCTCATAGGACAGACTTTTGGAAGGTGATTGGATTATGGAGGCTTATAAACTGACTTACTAGTAGGCGGTGAGGTCTGGTAGGAAGAGCCCTCAAGGGTTTGTCTCCCTCCTTTCATTCTCTCTGCTCACCACCACCACCATGCTGCATGCAACTTCTCCACCATGCCACCCTACCTTGGAGCCACTCTGTGGACTAAAACCTCTGCAAACTGTGAGCTAGAATAAACATTTCCTCCTTTAGATGTGGGTGTTGCATCTCAACACTGAGCAAAGTAACTAAGATAGGAGCCCTCCCTGATCTGTTGCTCTCAGCTCTGAAATACAGAATTCTGAGTGAAATAATCATTTCTGAGTTACTGTGCAGTCTATCATAGTACTGGGGAGCATTTATTTATTTATTTGGTGGTACTGAAGATCACACTTAGGGTGCTGTACCACTGAGCCACAGCCACAGCCTTTTATTACTTTTGAGACAGGATCTCACTAAATTGTATAGGTGGACCTCGAACTTGTAGTCTTCCTGCCTCAGCCTCCCCCAGTGCTAGGCTTATAGGTGTGTGCCAAAACACCTGGCTGGGAAACCAGCGTCAGGTCTTCCTACCCTCCAAATGATTCTTTATTAACACCTAAAGGAACCCAAGAAAGGTGGGTGGTATTTTCATTAGACAGGGTCCACACAGACCCCCCCCCATTTCAGTGGGATGGATCTAACAGATAATATTAAGCTGTTGTGTATCGTAAGCAAATAATTGCAAAGTGTACATCCAAGGGTAAAAGAAATCCACCTACACTTACTGAAGATCACTGGAACATCAGCTCAAGGAAGGTCTGTGCAGACAAAACTGTGGCATGAAAAAAAAAAAGGTATCCAGGTGACAGAGAAAAACAACTCAGCACACTGATAAAGCAGGCTTTTAGAGATTAAAGGATGTATAGGCTGGCCCAGAGGACCTTGTGCATATCTGGAATAAAATTAACAGGAATGATTGACGGTGCTGAGTCATTTCAGGTGGAATGATTTTAAAAGAATGTTGGCTTGTTGCAATGCTAAATAATTGGTAAAATATGCTGAGCAAAGGAGAGGAAGGAGTTAGGGTTCTATCTTGGGAGACTAAACTAACATTCTTTCAATTACAGAAGAGTAGTCGTAGGAGTAATATTCACCAAGCACTTACGATGTGTGAGGAGTTGAACTTTGTATTCATTTTATCACTTGCAAAGCCCTAATAGGTAGAATATTATCACCACTTTGTAGAAAGCTAGCAATGTATAAATGAATTAATCATCAAGAACAGACATACTCTTCATTATAAAACAACTGTGGATATATATATTTTTTTATGATACCAGAGATAGAACTCAGGACCTTGCACTTGCTAGGCAAGCACTTATTCTACAGAGCTATCTCCCTGGCCCCAATCATGGATTTTATGGTTATAAATATTTGTTTTAATTTTTAAATTCATTTTTGTTTGTTTAGCAATGGGGATTGAATCTGGGGCCTTCAAATGGAGCTATATCCCCAAATCTTTTTTTTTTTCCTTTACATTTTTGAGACAGGATCTCACTAAGTCACTAAATTACACAGATTGGGCTCAAACTTCTGACCCACTTCCTCAGCCTTGAAGAGTGCTGGGATTACAGGGTTGTGCCACCATACCTAGTGGCTTGGTTACTTTTCTCTCAGTTCTGAGATGAAATACCCAATGCCCAAATTAAAGAGGAAAAGATTTATTTAGCTCACAATTTGTAGAGGTTTCAGCCTATAACCAGCAGGCTCCAAGGCAGGATGGCATGGCACAAGGGTAAGACTTCAAGGTAGCAGAACACAGTGAAAGCCACAGGCTCTGCCCCTCCCCAGGGGGATATAGCACTCACAAACTCCATTTCTTCCTCTTGCGCAGGGTGAGGATGTTTACAAAGTAAGGACCCTGGCCCCATGCTGAGTCAGTTAAACTTCTAAACTCAAGTGGACATGATATAGCAACCATTACAATCCACCCCTTGTCACCTTGGCAACCAGCCCATTTCTTTAAACCAGTTTCCAGGCACAAAGACATGCTTATTTTTCACATTTCACAACTTGAACATTATGATATGGGTGTAACAATCCATTACGAGCTGGGGAGATGGCTCAGTAGAATAAGCTTTTCCCTGGCAAGTGCGAGGGCCTGAGTTCAATCCCTAGTTCCACCAAAAAAAAAAACAAAAACAAAAACATTAGAACCAGTATTAAGTTTATCAACATATTACATTACAACCATAGCCTTCTGCCCCAGGCTAAGGCTTATTTCTAAGAGTTGCCAAAGTCCTAACAGTTTTAGCATGGCTCAAATGGTAAGTCCCGAGTCTCTTCTGAGATATAAGGCAAACTCTTAACTGCAAGTCCCAGTACAAATAAAAAGTTATATACTTCCAACATTCATTGGAACAAGGTAAACATTTTTATTTCAAGTTACAAATGGGAATACAAAGAACTGGGACCCAAGCAAGTCCAAAATCCAGCGGGGTAAACATTAAGTCCTATATCTCTATGTAGCATCTTAAACAATCTGTGGCAAATTGTGAGCTCCAAAGGGCTTGAGTGACTCCACCTATGACACTTCTGGTGGTTACAGCTCCCATGGCTTCTCTGTTAGGCCCACTTTGCCTCCACCTTGCAGATTTCCTTAGATGATCCATGTTCCTGGCTTTTCCAAACTTCTGAGTTCTCCACTGCACCTTTGGCTTCACATAGCTTCACACACTGCCCTCTCAGGAGCACAATGCCTGGCCTCCCAGGCTTTCTGAAATCAAGATGAGTCTTCTTATCCTCACAACTCCTGCATTCTACATACACCTAGAACCAGAACCACGGAATAATGCCAAGGTCGACTACCCCCTGGAGCAGTAGGCAGGCTTTCTTCTCTCTTGACTGTAGGGGCCCAGTGCCTGGATCGTCAGGCATGCTGAATCTAATTCTGAAGAGAAATTTTCTGCCAGTACTGTGGAACATGGTGCACACTTCAGCCTTCTTCTCAAAGGAACATCACTTTCACAGTTTTTGAGGCTGTAAAGGGTAGAGACCTGCCACTTGCTGTGATGCTGTCAGGTCATCTTTTATAGTCTCCTGTTCCTTCTCAACAATTAAGATCTCCTTAGCTCTGTCTGTAGTCCACAGCTTTACTGGGGCTTCCTTTCTGGCCAAACTCACATTTTAAATCATCCTTCTGGGATCCTTGGTCTTGATTCTCAACAGAGATCTGGCTAAAAGCCCACAATCATGGCCATACCACAGCCTTAACATTGGGCTGCCTGGAAATTTCTTCTACCAGATTAATTAGTCCACAACCTTAATCTCAGTCTCAAACAAAGTCTCTGGACACGAACAAAATACAAAGTTTCTGCCAAGCCATAACATAGAGTCTAGCAGCCAATGCAGTTCTTCTACCCAGCAGAAACCTCCCAACCTTGATAGGCAAGATTCCTATCAACCTATTGGTCTTCTGAGCTGTGAACAGGATCTCTCATACAGAACAACCTAAGACATTCCAGCTTTCCTTTTTCAGGCAACATCTCTGAACCTTTCTAAACTCTTCCCCTAAACTATTCCTAAAGGCTCTTGAACTGCACGGTCAGGTATAGTCACAGCAACAACCCCAGATTCTGTACTGGTTACTTTTCTGTCATTGCTGAAATAAAATACCTAATGC